AAGAGTGCAGGTGTGCAGAGGCCACCCCACCCCCACCTGTGGAATGAAGCAGCCTGGTGACTGACAGCCAGCACAGGTGGAGGCCCTGGGCCAGCAGCAGGGGAAGCAGCCCTGCCCTGAGAAGGCAGCCCTGAGACAGCACTGGAGCCTCTCTCCCGCTCACAGGCATCCCGGCCCCGTCCCCGTGTCAGGGCGCCTCCCCCACCTCTCTGTGAACCTGCATCTCAGGACCCCTGGAGGAACTGGATCCCAAGACATACCTTGCACGACTTCTGCAAGCCCATCGACGCACCGTTCCTCTGGGTTACACCTCACGAAACTCTCCTCACAGGAGGTGTTGTTAACCCCTATGCAACCAGGGCACTGTGTGTCGCCGGTCCCTTCAGTCGGAACGTCTGCAAGGGAAGAGGCCTTATCATGACCGTGCTGTCAGACAGGACAGAGCGACTGCATCCTGGCCTCCACACCACCCTGGTCACCACTGATGACCCAGACCCCCAGGTCTGCCCCGACAGCCTGCTCAGTTTCTGAGCATGTGGAGTACAGGCTGAGAAGAGAATGGTGGGCCCAGCCTGTCCCGACTGTTGTACTAATGTGTGACTGTTACTAAATCTGTTTGCAATCAGGAGAAGATAAATATACCTCATTTTTAAAACACAGGGTTTCGGGGTGCAGGCACTGTAGGGTAGCACATAGGGCTGCTGCCTGCAGTGCCAGCATCTCATATGAGTCCCGGCTGCTCCTCTTCTGATCCAGCTCTCTGCTATGGCTGGGAAGGCAGTGGAGGATGACCCAGGTGCTTGGGCCCTGCACCCACGTGGGAGACCTGGAAGAAGCTCCTGGCTCCTGACTTCGGATCAGCCCAGCTCCAGCCATTGCAGCCATTTGAGGAGTGAACCAGCGGTTGTAAGATCTATCCCTCTCTGCCCGCCTCCCCCCTATCCGCGCTCTCTAAACTTTTTCTTTCTTTTTTTTTAAGATTTATTTTTTTATTTGAAAGTCAGAGTTACACAGCGAGAGAAGCCAGGAGCCAGGAGCTTCCTCCAGGTCTTCCATGAGGGTACAGGGGCCCAAGGACTTGGGCCATCCCCCACTGCCTTCATAGGCCATAGCAGAGAGCTGGATCAGAAGTGGAGCAGCTGGGTCTCGAACCGGCACCCATATGGGAAGCTGGCAATTCAGGCCAGGGCGTTAACTCACTGAGCCACAGAGCCAGCCCCTCTCTGTAACTTTTTCAAATACATAAATAAAAATCTTTTCAGAACACAAAGCAAAAACAGGGCTTTGTTCACGAGCAGCGGTTCTCACACGGGGGTTCAGGAACCCCGAGCCCTGGGCTCTTCCGGGGGGCTGAGTTAACCACTTCTGGCCAGCACCACACTGCCTGTGCCTCATTCTCTCTCCCTCACAAACACAGGGTGGGGTTGTCCACACGGGAATGCACACACGTGTGAGCCTCCAGCCGTCTCGCATGTGACAACGCCACACTCCTCACTACTGTGTCTATTTGTCAAGTACATGCTGATGGGTAAGGTGCTGCCTGCTATTTTGGGTGAACTAATGCAGGTTTATAAACTTCCTTAGCTGGAACTTCCCAGATAGTAAATATTGACAGGGGAAGTGCACGTAAACCAGAGTTCTCTGGACTCCTCAGTAATGTGGGAGACCTGAGTCCTACAGGGCCCTGGGATCCCGAAGTCTGAGAACTGCTGGGGAGCGCCAGGTGCTGCTCCCAGGGGAGGCGTGGGCACAGCAGGGAGACCCCTCTGGGGGCGCCTGATCCCTAACGCAGCGCCTGGACCCCCTAAGTCCTGCTGCACCCTGACTCCAGTTCCTGCTGAGGAGCAGCGTGGAGCAGCCAGTGACCACTCAAGGACTAGAATTCCTCCTGCACCACCACGGGGAGACCTAGATGCTCCCAGTCCTGCCTGGCCTGGCCCCGCCTCTGCTGTTGGGGAATGTGGGCGTGAACAGGCAAATGGAAGACTTCTCTCTGGCTCTGTGTCGCCTGAGATAAAATGAAAACACATGAATGCTAAATACATCCCCCCCACAGCCTCCCTGTCTGTCCCTGCTGGCAGTGCTGTCTGCCCTGCAGTTCTCACGCCCCTCTGTCAATCAGGTGTGAGTGTCATTCAGATGTGACAGGAGGGCCTGGCCTGCAGGTGGCCCCCAAGGACAGGGAGCACAGGTGGCCCAGCAAGGGGACCATGGCGCTGGCACCCACCTGGGGTTGGAGGGGGGATGGTGCTATTGCAGGGTTCTCCATTGCAGCACTGGCTTGACAACCAGGCTGTTTGCCCAGCAGCTCCCCGGACATAAAAGCCCAGAGGCGTAGGCAACAGTGAGCAGTCGATTGTGGAGCAGGCCATGTCATAGAACCGTGTGGGAGGTGAGTCTACACAAAGACAAACACAGACTGTTAGTCCCTGGGGAGGAGAGGCCGTGGGGACCTGGGACCCTGAAGAGGAGCGGCTTCTGGCCAGCGCACACACGCTCCCCTCAGCGCAGTGCAGGTTTGGACGCAGCGGCGAGGGTTCCTGGGAAGAGAAAGCTGCTGCTCCATCAGCCACACCTGTGCAGCAGGGGAGCAGCAGAAATGCAGGCAGACCCAGGAGAGGGCGGGCCCTACAAGTGGGCGGTCCAAGTGACCACCTGGAGACCTCCCAGCTAGCACTGTGGCATAAGGAGAAAAGCCGCTGGCTGCAAGGCCAGCATCCCCTATGGGCACCAGTACGAGTCTCAGCCACTTCACTTCATATTCAGCTCTCTGCTATGGCCTGGGAAAGCAGTAGAAGATGGCCCAGGTCCTTGGGCCCCTGCACCCATGTGGGAGACCCAGAAGAAGCTTCTGGCTCCTGGCTTCAGATCAGCCCAGCTGCCGCCATTGCGGTGAATTGGGGAGTGAATCATGGATGAAAGACTCTCTCTCTCTCCCTCTGTCTCTCTTCCCCCCCTTTCTTTCTCTCTCTTTCTTCTCTCTGTGTAACTCTGACTTTGAAATAAATAAATACATAATTTTTTAAAAAATGAGAATAATCAAGCCAATTTGCTGCACCTTGTCTGCAAACCCATGTGCTTCTGCCTGAAAACTGGACCCAGACCCAGCCAAGCTCCTGGGCCAGAACTGTCCAGATTGGTGCCCACTAGCCATAAATACCCACTTAAATGTAAACCTAGGGCCGGCGCTGGGGCTCACTGGGCTAATCCTCCGCCTGCAGTGCCGGAATCCAATATGGGTGCCGGGTTTCTAGTACCGTTTACTCCTCTTCCAGTCCAGCTCTCTGTTGTGGCCCTGGGAGGAAGTGGAGGATGGCCCAAGTGCTTGGGCGCCTGCACCCCATGGGAGACCAGGAGAAGCACCTGGCTCCTGGATTTGATTTGGCGTAGCCCTGGACGTGGTGGCCATTTGGGCGGTGAATCAACAGAAGGAAGACCTTTCTCTCTGTCTCTCCCTCTCACTGTCTGTAACTCTGTCAAATAAATAAATAAAAAATCTTTTAAAAAAAAGTAAAGCTAGGGACCAGCACTGTGACACAGCTGGTTAAGCCGCTGCTTGCAATGCCGGCATCCATGTGGGCACCAGTCCATGTCCTGGCTGCTCCACTTCCAATCCAGCTCCCTGCTAACTCACATGGGAGAGCAGCTTGGGCCCTTGCACCCACAGGGGAGACCCAAGTGCAGCTCCTGGCTCCTGGCTTTGGCCTGGCCCAGTCCCAGCAGTTTCAAACATTCGGGGAGTGAACCAGCAGATGGATGGAATGTCTCTCTCTCTCTGTCTCTCACTCCCTCTCTGTAATTCTGCCTTTCAAATAAATAAGTCCTTATTTAAAAAAAAAAAGTAAATTTAGATGAATCAAACTAAAATTTAAAATTAAGTTCCTCGGTCATACTAGCCGCATTTCCAGCAACACTCAGGAGCCGCACGTGGACACTGTACAGGATGGCACATATGTAGATGTTTCCATGGTTACAGACGGTAATGCTGATGACCCTGGGCCAGTGGGTAGAAACACCAAGAACAGGAGAACAACTGAATGACAGCACAGGATGCAACCAGCCAAAGCCAGAGCAGGGCAGCTGCGGACGGATGCACCCATTTCTGCCACACATCCTGGGACGGAACCAAGAATGGAACAGGAGCTGTTATAAAAATCAATCCCAACAGCAAACGGCAATGCGGAGACCTAGCCTGCATATTAATCACAGCATCACTGTATCTTTCAAACAACCCAGAGTCTTAAGATGGTCCAAGGGTTAGAAAAATGACAGTGTTACAGTTAATGTCTTAGCTATGATAACGGAATATTAGTTATGTCTATTTAAAAGCTCTTATCAGAGCTTTTAAGTATCTATAGGGAAAGTATAAGTAAAGTGAAGTATCTATAGGGAAAATGACCACACACACAGACACACAGACATACACACATGCACACGAGGGCACTTCACAAAACGCATTGAGAAATGGAATTAAAAGATTAGTTACTTCAATGCAGAAAAAATTTAAATCCTTGCAACAATGGGTCTTCTAAAGTTTATGAAAATTGTGTAATCTGAAAAAATTATGCATGGATTTCAGATCATGTACATGTTTACTTTAACACATTACAGTAAAGTAACAGTGTCGGTCATTGCTGACATGGACAAGGGGCACGCACGGTCCCCGCGCTCTTCTGCCCGCTGTTGTCCGGTGTGGAAATGTCCGAGGTGAGAAGTGTGGAGGAACTCACCAGGCAGGAGCTGCCCCGCGGTGAGGCGGCGGAACAGGGCGATGCAGGCCCGGGCAGAGTGGCCGCCTGAGCCGCCTTTGCTTCCACAGCCCCGAGAAGGCTCCGGAATGAGCCCTGCCTGACCCGTCTCCCCTTGGCCAGGAGCTGCTCCACGACCCCCTGCCCTGGCCCAGCCCGGCCTCATCTCAGGCCTCCCTCCCAGCCTGGCCGCCCTCTCCAGCCCTGCCGGGGGCCAGTCCCAGGGTGGGGGGGCACTCAGCCCAGGCTGACCTGAAGGCCAGCCGGCACAGGAAGCAATGCAGCTGGTATAGGTGTCACCAGGACATGGAGAGACATCGTTGCAGTCACAGGGGGCATCAAATGAGGAGCACTGCGGACAGTCCAGGGACCCTGCGGAGACAAAAGAGCCCACGTGGCTCCATCTGGTGACACAGAGCAGAGACCACGCCCACCTCAGGGGGAAAGAGGATGACGTCCCCGCCTTCTGGGGACCCACAAGACAAGGAGCTGCCCATCTGTTCACCATCCCACAGGCGGGGCCGCTCCGAAGGCAGGGAGCACAGAGGAGCCTCGCGCACTCCACGGGCCACTGCCTGAAAGGGCCGGGCACCCAGGCAAGGTCCTGGCGACACCCACCAACTGTTGCCATCCACCCGACACCCACCCCCTCCTGTCATCTCCCCAACCCCCACCCCCTCTGTCATCCCCCCGATGCCCACCCCCTCCTGTCTCCCGCACTCGGCCCCCACAGCTTCTCTCACCTCCGGGGGCCACAGCGAGCGCTGCGAGGAGACCGAGGACCAGGATGCCCTTCATGGTGCTGGAGCTGAGCCTCCTGAGGGCGGGGCCACGAGCCTGGAGCCTGGAGGGACAGGGGAGGCAGCCCGGGGCTGGCGGGGGCCTGTCGCCCTCAGGGGTGCAGACAGGAGCACAGAGCCCGACACCCGTCCACCCTGCTCTCACGTGCGCCGGGAGCTCCCGGCCTCCACGGCTGCTGAGGCATCGCGCCCGTGTGAGACCCAGCCGGGGCACGGCCCGTGGAGCCACTCGGGTGTGACGTGGGCAGGCGACTGACTCCCTGGCCCTGTCCTCAGGGTCTGTCTTCAGCTGGGATCTCCCCACTGCACTCACTCGGCACTCAGCAGCTCTGTCCCCACCACCACAGGCACCCACTTCCTGAGCCCTGACTGCTTCCAACACGAGACACCCACCCCCTGACACCCACCTGTCCTCCTCCTCCTGACACCCACCCGACACCCACCACCTCCTGTCACCCACCTGTCCACCCCCTCCTGTCACCCACCCGACGCCCACCCTTCCTGTCACCCACCCGACCCCCACCCCTTGTCATCCACCCGATGCCCACCACTTCTTTTCATTCACCGAATGCTCACTACCTCCTGTCATTAACCCATCTACCACCTCCGTTCATCCACCCAACCCCCACCACCTCCTGTCACCACTCGACGCTCACCCCCTCTGTCAACCACCCTGCATGTGACACCTTATGTAATTCACCCACAGGAGCAGGCAGGGACTTATGCTCATCAGGGCAGAAATCAAACCCGAGGAGCATCACGAAGACACTCCAAGATCTGGCCCAGGCCCCTCACTGGGACCCCACACCGTCTCCAGCAGAGGGCAGCTGCCAGATCCAGGCCAGGTCACAGGTGGCTGCACAGCTGGGTCCCAGGCCCCACTCAAGCGGCCTGGGCATCAGAGCAGCAAGGAGAGCAGGCGGCCGGCCCTGCAGTGATCTGCCTCGTTACCCATTTACCCCAAGAACTAAGACCACAGCACCACAGAGCTATTCAAGGTTAAGTTCATCGACACTACATGTCATATCCACACATGCTACATCCATCCACACACATACCACAAATGGGCAGCACACGTGGCACATATGGATAGCACACACAGATGAAACACACAAGTGGCACACATGCACAGTTAATGACAACAAACGCCCCAGCCCACACCCTCCCGCCCCTCCAGCTCCCACTCTCCTGAGTTGGTAAAAGCAGAGCACAGGCCAGAACACAAGCCATGAGAATGACCAGTCTGGGCACAGCCGGACAGGACCTGAGCCGGCCCTGGGTGCCCATCCTGGGTCTCAGCTTCCCCCAGGCTCAGCCCCAGCCCTGCAGCCCCTCACCTGCTGATCCCACCAGAGACACTCCCAGGCCAGGTGAGTCTGTGCAGGTACAGGGGTGTGAGGACCTTATATAGCCAGTGGCCACAGTCAGAAAGGGCGCTGCCTTCTGGGGAGGGGCCTCTCCCATCCAGACTGTGCCCTGCCCGACAGCAGGGACATGGGCAGCTTAACCCTTTGCCAGCTGTGTCCTGTGCCCTTGGAGACCTGAGAGCAGAGGGATTCCAGCAACACTCGTCAAAGCGAGCTGCGGCCAACGGGCCAGGGAGGAGGTGTGAGGCTGGCAGCACCCACTGTGTGCTGTGGCCCAGGAAGCGGTCCCACAGCCAGTTCAGGCCTCCCAGAGCAGCCCCAGGTACAGGAGAGAAACATGGGAGGGTCCCAGTGGCACCCACAGGGGCAGGCTGGAACTCAGAACCCAGCTCCAGAACGGATCAGGTCTCCTGAGGCAGGAGTCCTCGCCTCTCTGGTTCAGGGTCCCCGCCCTCCCCGGGGTCCCACAAGCCCACTGTGGAGCTGGCAGCCCCAGGAGGCGGGACTGAAGGACAGGCTCAGGGGTCATCACTGGGCTCAACACAAACGCGCCCCAGACCAGCAGGGAGTCCGGCTCTGCACCTGTCAGTGCCTGGCCCACCCCGTCCCGTGCTCTCTGGGCCCGAGCTCCTGCTCTGTGAACGCAACACCAGGCACTACAGAGAGCTGCTGAGAGTTTCTCTCTCCTGGACTCCCGTCCTGTTCCACCAGGGCTTCCCACGGTGACCTTTCAATAGCGGCACGTGGAGCTGCTCCCAGGTGGGGCCCCGGGGCCACTGGTCACCAGGGACACTGTGGACTCTGGCAATATGGACCCCCCCCCCACCGTGGAGGGCCTCGGAACCGTGTAGATGAGGATGGCGGCCCCTTACCCACAGCACAGGCCAGGGAGGCCCCGTGGTCACCCTTCCCCCACAGAGCCTCGGGCACCTGGCCTCAGATCCACTACCTGCTGTCCTGGCAGCGGCTTGACCACAGCAAGCCGGCACTCAGTTGGGTCAGAGTCAGCCTGGGAGTGAGCCTGGAGCCACGGTGGGGAGTGTGCTTGTCCAGCAGAGTCCAGACGTGGTGGTCAGGGGAGTCTACCCCATTTCAGAGATACACGGAGAGGGTGCAGGGTGGGGTGGGGTGCCCAGAGGAGGAACCCCGCCTGCAGCAGGGGTCCAGGCCCAGAACTCACAGAAGGTCCCATGGCCAGCATGCAGCCTGCCCACATGCTGCTGGGTTTCCTCTGGAAACTTCCATTCAGGGGCTCATTCCTCCAGCTCAGCAACATAAGATCCGGCTACAGTGCAGTTACGGTGCCTGAGACTCCCGACCCGGCCACATCAAGGAGTAAATGTGCGCGCCTGACACACAAGCTTGCAGCAGTGCCCGGCTGTACAAGGTGCCTGCCTGTCCTGGCTCAGTGTCCAACTGTACAAGGGGTTGGCCTGTCCCGGGCTCATTGTCCAGCTGTACAACGTGTTTGCCTGTCCCAGCTTAGGGCCCGGCTATACAAGGTGCCTGACCCAGGCTCAGTACACCCTGTACAACTCATGGGTCTGTCCTGGGCTCAGTGCACCTGTGTCAGGCTCAGTGCCCAGCTATAGAAGGTTTGCACCTGTCCTGGTCAGTGTCCGGCTGCACGTGGTACCTGCCTGTCCCTGGCTCAGTGCACCTGTCCCTGGCTCAGTTTAAAGCTGTAAAGGTGAGTGCCTGATCCTGGCTCAGTGCAAAGCTGTACAAGGTGAGGGACCATCCCTGGCTCAGTGCACCTGTCCCGGGCTCAGTGCACGCCTGTCTTGGCTCAGTGCCCGGCTGTACAAGGTGTAGGCCTGTAATAGACCCCCATTCTTCACACAGGATTTGCACCACCACCCACCTCTGAAGCGCTGTTCTGACTGGGAAGGCACACGGCCTGCAGCCATCAGTCACTCGGGGCTCCACGAACACTGCTTACCCCTGCCACATCCCCCGCTCCTGAGCCCTGGGCTCCTGCACAGCCGCAAAAGGGCCTGGTGGAGGGACAGGACCGAGGGGATTAAAGCCAGGGACACGCAATGAGGGCTGCACCGGGAACCTGTGGGTCTCCCCACTCACTGTCCAGAGAGAGAAACGAGGCCAGCACCCAGCCCCCCCACCAGCCCTGGCCTGGCTCTGGGACACAGCCTCACCTTGGGCAGGTGGATATGTCTGCACTCAGTATACTGACCCAAGAGCAAGTGACGGCTTCCACAGCCAATCCACTGCACAGATTCAGAGTGTTGGGGCTGTTGGCCACTTGTAGAAGTTGGACCAAAACATCCACTCGAGGTCTTGCAACTGCCCCATTCCTTGGAGCAAGCCATTTTAGATGAAAAAAAAAAAAAAGAAAAATTAAGAAGAAAGGATACGATGTTCTTTGCGCAGCACAAGGAAATCCTGCTGTGAGGGTCATTGGCCAGGTCTTGGTCACGGTCCATCAGCTGGGCTTCTTTGGTGGCAGCCACAGGTGTGGTGACCACACGAGTTCATCTCAGAAGATGTTTGACACAGCAATTTCCCAAATTCTCCCGGCTGCAAGCACACAGCAGGGTTGGAGAACGGCTGCACCCCTCACTGTCTGTGCGACCTGCTGCCGCGGAGCTGACCCGGGCTGTGGAGGGGGGCAGGGCGGCAGATGTGCCAGCTTTACCCCTGATTCCACCAGAACAAATGGACAGCAGCGCTCAGGAAATGAGGTCATGACGGAGGCGATGCCATCCACGCTGTGTGACACAGTCACAGCTGGAGGAGGGGACTCCGCACAGCGGGAAGCCCCTGACTGACCTGAGCCATCTCTCTGCTGTTTTTATTAGGGTTAACAATGACGTAGTCATTGGGTTTGGTGTGGGAATCATGGACATCCATGTAGGTGAATTTGTTGTTCCTTGTGAAAAAAAAAATGAGTTTTAGGAGGTGACTGGAGAAATAGAGGGACTCTCCTAAACTTTGTCCAGAGCACAATGCCATGAGGACCATGAGTGATGAGGAGTGGCTCCCACAGCCCTCCTTTACACCCAGGAGTGTGTGATGAGAACGGTAGGTGCGTAGTTAATATCACAGCAAGTGGATGGGTGGACAGCACTGCCGTTCTGACAAAGGCTAGGGCGTCACACCCCTGCTTGGACACGTAGAACACAGGGACAGGAACTCTTACATCAGGCATGGAATAGGTCCTGTAAACATGGCTGTGGGAGTGTGATTTACCTGAGAAACATAGGATATAATCATTGGAACTCTCTAACAGATACAACCTTGAAAATAAATCCATTAACCTTTAGAACCTTGGACTTTTTATCTAGTACTTTTAAGTAAGTTAAGCAAGTTTCATAGAGCTGACACATCCATTATCAACGAAAAAGATTAATGGAAGGTTACAACGATGCCAGGGAAGGAAAATGAAGCAAAACAAGATAACAGAGAAAGGTTATGCACATATGGTCCCTGTGATGTGTTCTTTCTCAGAGAGAATGGAGGCTTAGGAGGAAGAAAGCTTAAAGAAAACTATGTGTAAAGAGATTGTAAAATAAAGCTATGAGAAGGAACAGCAGAACGAGGCCTCCCCTTGCTCCTTACACCGCGTCTCCCGTCTCTTTCTTCACCAACGCCTCCCCTCCTCAGGACCCCTGGACCTGCCGAGGCTGCACCGCGGCGGTGTCAGGGAAAGGCAGGTCAAAACCACAGTTCAGGACGGCCATTCTCGGGTCGGTGTGATGGCGCGGCAGGCTAAGCCTCTGCTTGCAATGTGGGCACCCACGGTGCAGCACTAGCTGAGCCCCAACTGTTCAGTTAGGATCCAGCTCCCTGCTGATGGCCTAGGAAAGCAGTGAGGATGACCCAAGTGCTTGGTCCCTGCCACCCACATGGGAGACCCTGATGGCCCTGGCTACTGTGGCGTTTGTGGAGTGAACCAGTGGATAGAAGATCTCTGTGTGTGTCCGTGTGTGTGTGTGTGTGTGTGTGTCTGTTGCACTCTGCCTTTCAAATAAATAATCTTTAAAAAGGATGGCTAGGGGCCAGTACTATGGCACAGTAGGCTAAACCTCTGCCTGCGTGTGGCACCAGCATCCCATATGTGCACCAGTTTGTGTCCCTGGCCACTCCTCTTCCACTCCAGCTCTCTACTGTGGCCAGCAGTAGAAGAAGGCCCGAGTTCTTGGGGTCCTGCACCCATGTGGGAGATCTGGAAAGAGCTCCTGGCTCCTGGCTTCAGGTCAGCTGACCTCTGGCTATTGTGGCCACTAGGGAGTGAACCAGTGGATGGAAGATCTCTCTGTCTCTCTCTCTGCCTCTCCTTCTCTCTCTGTGTACTCTGACTTTAAAATAAATAAATAAACCTTTTTTAAAAAAATGATCTTCACCAATCCAACATAAGACATTTATGGAAAATGTTAATAAAATGGGGCAGGTCTTATCTGTGCCATGATGTACGTCGTAAACACCATCCTAGGGTCTGGCCCTGGTGCCATTGCTAGAAGCCAGGTGACCAGATGGCCAAACCACAGGTGTCAGGGTCACACCCACTCCAGTGGGATTTGCTGCTCCTATTTCCCTGCCCCCCACACCCACAAAGGTATAGTAGGACCTGCTGCTCACATGCGTGCTCTCTCTGGATCTCTCTCTCTCTCCCTCCTCCTCTCTTATTCTCTCACCCTCCCCCCACCACCACTCGAGCTTCCCCCACCTGACAACAAACCTTTCCCTTAACCCCAGTGCCTGGTGTGTTTTGTGGGGCCTCACAGACGCCCACAGGTAACAACACACACTGGAGACACACGGAAGCTCTCAGTACCAAGGAGGCTGTGATCCTCGGGACAGCGGCACAGCGAGTTACAGAAGACGCCGAAGTCTCAGGGCACAGGGGGGTGGGGAGGGAGGTGGGGGCATGTGCTCTCCAAATCATGTGGCCATCATTCCACTCAGGGGTAAGATTACAAAGGGAAAAACCACATCTGTGGGAGTTCATTACAAAGCCAAGTTAATTCCAGAAGCCAGAACAAGCCAGGTTAATCACCCTTATCTCAGGGGGATATGGGAATAGAACACACCATCCCAGCACTTCATGTGAACACTGAGTGATAAATTCATGATACCATTCCTAGAGGCCAGTGTTTGAGCAGAGAGCAGTTGTGCCAATGGGTAGAAACACAGAGGACACTCAGGGACAAACAATGACTAAAGGTCGTTCAGACACAAAATGCAGTGACCCTGCTCAGGCCAGAGCTCACGGCACCTCAGCCCACTCTGGCCACTTCCACTCGAGGGTGCCCTGGGCTGGAAGTCCTGGCTGCAGCAATGAGAGGAAACAGAGAATTCAGGCATCCAGCTTCCAAGGGAGGAGCAACAGATCTGTACACAGAGGGCGTGACCTGATGTAGAGGAAACTTCCACTAACCACTCAGGGCTCAGCAAAACTGCAGGGTTCAGGATCAACATAGGAAACTGCTGTTTACAAAACACTAATGACAGTCTGACAGTAAAAGTGATCTAGTTTACAATAAAAGTGATCTAGTTTACAATTATATCAGGAATAATAACACCCTGACAATGAACACTCTGATTAGAAATTGAGAATCAACTCCATTATGGCATCTAAAGGAACAAGACACTTGGAAATACACTTAACTCTGAAAACAACATTGCTGAATCTGATTAAGGAGAACACAAACAAAGGGAAAGACACCCAGGCTCATGAATTAGAAGACAATATTGTTAAGAGCAATACCATCCAGTATGACCCAGAAATGATACAATTGTGACCCAATTAAACGTTGCATCTTTCATACAGATAGACCTTTCTAAGATTCATGGGAAATCTCAAGGGACCTTGAAGAACAAAACAATATTGAAAAAGAAGAGCAGGGGCCAGTGTTCGGTGAAGCCATGGAAAGTTGCCTCCTACATGCTGGAGCCTCGTATCCCAGTGCCAGTTCAGGTCCTGGTTGCTCCACTTCCCAGCCAGCTTCCTGCTGATGCACCTGGGAGAAGCAGCAGAGATCAGGTGACAAACTCACATTAGAAGGGACTTCAGGGGCTGGCGCTGTGGCCTAGTGGGTTAAAGCTCCAGGCTGCATTACTGGCACCCCATATGTGCACCAGTTCAAGTTCCAGTGGTCTACTTTTGATCCAGCTCTCTGGCATGACCTGGAAAGTGGTGGAAGATGGCCCAAGTCCTAGGGCCCCTGCACCCACATGGGAGACCCGGAAGAAGCTCCTGGCTCCTGGCTTCAGATCGGTGCAGCTCCAGCCATTGCAGCTATTTGGGGTGTGAACCAGCAGATGGAAGATCTGTCTGTCTGTCTGTCTCTGTCTCTGTCTCTGCCTCTCCTTCTGTCTCTGTGCAACTCTGACGTTCAAATTAATAAATAAATAAATCTTTTAAAATATTATTTATTTATATGAAAGGCTGAATTACAGAGAGGCAGAGGCAATGAGAGAGAGATCTTCCATCTGCTGGTTTACTCCCCAGATGGCCACAACGAGCGGATCTGAAGCCAAGAGCCAGGAGCTTCTTTCAGGTCTCCCACGTGGGTGCAGGGGCCCAAGGACTTGGGCCATCTTCTACTGCTTTCCCAGACCACAGCAGAGAGCTGGATGGAAAGTGGGGCAGCCAGGACTCAAGCTGGCGCCTATATGGGATGCCGGCACTGCAGGCGGCCACTTTACCTGCTACGCCCAGTGCCAGTCCCTGTTCATGGATTTCAAAAAAGTTTTGCAACAAAACAAATGTACCTATTTTTAAAAAATATATTTATTTTTATTTTCTTGAAAGGCAGAGTTACAGGGATAGAGGGAGAGACATAGAGAGAGGGGGATCTTCCATCCACTGATTTCACTCCCTAAATGGCCACAATGGCTGGGCTGGGCAAGGCTGAAGCCAGGAGCCAGGAGCTTCTTCCAGGTCTTCCCTGTGGGTACAGAGTCCCAAACACTTGGGTCAGCTTCTAGTGCTTTCCCTGGGCACATTAACAGTGCGCTGGATCATCAGAGGAGCAGCTAGGACTCTAGCCGGCACTCATATGGGGTCTCGGCATTCCAGGGATATGTGCTAAGCCACAACACCAGCCCCCTGAACTTGCTTTTTTTTTTTTTTAAGATTTATTTCCTTATTTGAAAGTCAGAATTACACAGAGAGAGGAGAGGCAGAGAAAGAGAGACAGAGAGAGGGGTCTTCCATCTGATGGTTCACTCCCCAATTGGCAGCAATGGCTGGAGCTGGGCGATCTAAAGCCAGGAGCCTGAAGCTTCTTCCAGGTCTCCCACGCAGGTGCAGGGGCCCAAGGACTTGGGCCATCTTCTACTGCTTTCCCAGGCCACAGCACAGCTGGGTTGGAAGTGGAGCAGCTGGGTCTCAAACCAGCACCCATATAGGATGCCAGCACTTCAGGCCAGGGCGTTAACATACTGCACCACAGTGCCAGTCCCTAACTTATCTTTTAATTCCATTTTCCACAAACTTTTCCATCTTCCCAAATCAATACGGAGTGAGGAAAAGTTAAATTGCACAAAGTGAAGCCATCACCATAACCTGAAGGCAGGGAATGCCAGACCTTCAACTGCAAACCTACACGGAGCAGTCGCCAGGCTGCAGCACGCACCTGTCCACGTCTGTTCATGATGACTGGCTTCTCAGTTGTGGGGCTTACAAATGTGCATTAGTTCTGTTAACCCTCACGAGCCCTGATAATATGAGTAATTCTTTAACTGAATATCATAATTGTGTTATAAAACCTGAGCGAGATAAAATATTATGATGTTTTGGTAAACTTAGAATCTCACCCCTGGTGAGAGTATTACAATATTGGCTTCCCCAATTAACTATAAATGTTTTCTCAATGCGGGGTAAAGAACCAAACTCCCACAGAACAAAAGTAGGAAGGCGTCGCAAACGTCTGCTGTCACGCAGCTCGACAGTAGTAAGTGCGACGTAGGACTTGTCAGTCAAGGGGAAGAAAGGAACACCAGGACAGAGACTGTCTTTCCAATGAGAGGTTTTATTGCTTACACACCAGGGGGTTTTATCACACTCTCATCAGCATGCTCATTGAGGTCAATACACTTATCAGTACCAATATACTTATCAATCTATACTAACTTTACACTTATCACTAAACTTAACACCACTACTTAATGTGACTTAACTACTTAACTTAGCTGCTTAGCTTAACGTAACACTTAGCTTAACTACTTGGCCTAATCACCTAAGTTAACATAATTACTTAACACACTTATCAACATCACTAATATCACTATCAATAATGTCAATAATATCACTTATCATAACTTATAGCTAACTTAACACACTTACTGAATTACTTAGCTTAACATTAACTACTTATCTTAACATATATAGCTAATCTTAACAATATCACTTATTGGCCAGAAAATCAATATTCTTATACCATAAGTCACAACAAACACTATTGAAATAATCTTAAGTACTATCACAATGAACAATACAAGCACAGCAAAAGATTCAATACACAACATTGGTTTGCTGTGATCTAGGCTCCTATCACTGTCAGGAAAAAGTGTCAGTGTTCAAGGTCCAGGGCTCCATGTCTCGGCAGAGACGGATCTCGGATCAGTCACTCACAGGCAGGAAGTCGTGGGAAGGCTGTCACTCTGGGCAGTAGGCTCAAAGTTCCCAGGCTGACGGCCAGGCGAGAAGTTGGAGAGGTCCCCAGCTGAGAGGCCTGGTCCAGCTCTGTGGTCAGGTCTGGCAGCAGGCTGATAAGGAGTCCAGGCCAGGCGGTGAGGCGGCATCTCGGCTGGTCAGGCACGGAGGCAGGACAGCAATGCAGCAGCTCCAGATGGCCTCTTGATCCCGTTGTCACCTTGGGCCACGTAGCAAAAGCTAGCGGGCTGGCTCTTCGACTCCAAATGCAAGGAGTTCCAGAGGTTCACTAGCACTGGGCCACGCACACACACACTCACACACACAGTGGGGTTACAGCTCAGGGACAGCTCTGCAGGTCGGCTTGTGCTGCTACCTGCTCCGTGCAGAGTAGCGGCTGCCTCTTCAGCTCTGGATGTGTGGAGATCCAGAGGTTCACACACACCAGGCCATGATCCCTGAGAGGATGGAGAGTGGTGCCAGGGCTCCCTTTTTATCCTCATTCTCCAGGAGTCCTCCAGCTTGCCGTCTTCCGACTTGTTGTCCAGTCAACGCTGTTTCCTCCTTGCTTGCAGTTGGACAGTCCAGTCAATACTGCTCCCGCCTTACTTAGGTTTGAATGGTCCGTCAGCGTGGGTAGGGGGGCATTGTCCACAGCACACTGTTATCTGACTGACCAGAGTTGTCTGCTTGGTGTGATTAGGAGTGTCTCCCTAACAGCCGTTAGGCATTGCCTCAGCTCCTGACTTACAACTCCACTTACTTTTATTTTTGTGGCTAGTGGTAACTTCTTAACTCAGTGTTTTACTGTGTTTCCACAGTTCATCTCCTTTCCAGGTAGGCGGTGATCCCTGATTCTTTTTGAGATTCCTGGGGGATTCTCCACAGAAGGAGACAGAAAGCCATTTAAGATTGATTGATTGATTATATATGTATATATATAATTTGCTTTAAACATAAGACAAATGTTCAAACTCCATCATTGGAGCAATGTAAATTAACACCACTGAAACACTACTTCTAACCAATCAGATTAGCAGACGTCAAACATAGAAAACAGTGCGGGGTGTGGCGGGGCATCAGGAAACAGGCCCGCCTGTAAATGCAGGTCACACCACCCCCACAGCGCGGTCCGGGAGCCCCAGCAGAGCCCCGCCAGGATTCACCCAGTCTGGCCCAGGAATGGCTCAGAGAAGCAACCACATGGCCAACAGCATGAAAGCGGGGTGCTCACTCTACCTGTGGAAGCGTTGTTTGTGAATGCAAAATACTGCAGCTAACCCAGTGCCCACAGCACAGAGAGGCCGAGAAACCACGCCCTGGGTCCCACGCAGCTGACAGCAGAGTGGGCAGGGCCCGCACACGGTGCAGAGATGGGAGGTGAAGAGAGCAACGTGGCAGGAAGGTGTCCACAGTGGGCGACTCTGGGAGGCGGCCCAGCTGGACAGCATCCAGAAACTGCAGTGCCCAGACAGAGCACCCGGGACAACAGACCGCCCGTGTGGCCCAGCCCCCAGGGGCCCTCAGTGTGGGGAGCGAGCCTCGGACAGAGCACAGACGCCCGGCCGGGAGCTGACCGAGCGGTGGGAGCTCAGGCCAGTGCGGCCTTCCCGGCTCCCTACAGCACTCTGGCCTCAAGGGCGTGGGGCTGGGGAGAGAATCCTTTGCCTGGTCCTGGACAGCAACTTAAATCAATACGCAGACAGGCAGAAGCTGGTGCATCCAGGCAGAAAGCTACTCACTAGTTTATGGCAGAAATAAAAAAAAGAAACTTCTCAGTGCCAACAACGAAAAACGATTCAGAGAGGAAGAAAACGTGGAAGTGGGAAAGAGGGACTCGGGGATGCAAATGAGGCCCCCAGAGTCCAAGTAAACAAAGAACCAGAGGAAGTCCTGAAGGCAGGAAGATGGGTGGCGGGGTCCACTCCCAGCAGCAGCAGAACCAAGGTCGGGGTTCGGGCACCCAAGGCCGACCCTGGAGGAGGAAGCATGGCCAAGTGCAGACTCCCAGGCCACCACACTCACTGAGAGGCCGAGTTCCTCCTGGCCCTGTGACGTCCCTCATCCCACCCTGAAGCCCACAGACCACAACCACCACCACCACCACCACCACCACCCCCCCCCAGGGCTAGAGGTTCTGAATCAGGAACTCCGATGGGGAGGGAGGGGCCGCCACCACACTGATCCCAACCAGGGAAGCAGAGGGCCCAGGCCCACTCTCCCTCCTGGCCTTCCCTGGGGCGGGGGGATGTAGCACCTCTGCTCCCACCCTTGGCAGGCCCCCACCTGTGCAGGCCCCAGCTTGCTGAGCTGGGGTACCGGGAGAAGGAGCTGGGAGAGGAAAGCACGGACCAAAGCCAGCCTCCCACGGGACACTGCTCCACCCAAGTCACACGGGGGTGGGGCCTGACCTGATGCGCCTGCCTCAACTCCCTGTCCCTCTCACAGACCCACCCTTCCTGGCGAATGTCTCCACAACAGGGCAGTGCACGGTGTCCCTACCAGGCCCAGTCTGTGGGAACAGGGGTTTTGTCCAGGGCCAGGAGAATGGGAGACTGTGCGAGTCTCTGCAGAGAGCGTCCCCGCTCCGTGCTGCCCAAAGCCACCAGCCCGTTTCCCTCACATGGGACTCCCGTCTCCAGGCGTGGGGCCAGCGTGGACAGTGAGGGTTGGGGAGCCCCACGCCACCCTTGTTCTCACTGCTGCCAGCAGAGGCTGGGACGGGGAGAGGCGGGTGGCAGGGAGTGAGTGGGGGGAGTGGCTGGGGTGGTTCCCCCACACGTGATGATGGTTTGAGGACATGGCCGTGCTGACCTCACGTGTGGCTCCATGAACACAGACAGCTTTGAGGGGTCGGGAAGCAGACCTCCCTCCCCTGACCAAAACAAACTGCTAATGGGAGTGATCCACTGAGAGCCACCGGCACCAGGGACCACATGGCCGCTCTCTCCCCAGTTCCTGGACTGGAGCCCGCACCTGACCTCCATGAACTCACTCCCAGGAGGGCTCGGGGCACCTGCTCCCTGGAACCACGGGATCCAACGTGTGCCTTCTCCAGCTTCAGAGAACTGTGTCCCAGCTCACGGCCTCTCCTGCCTGGACCCAGGGTCCCCAACTCTGCCTAAGCCCAGCCTGGGAGTTTCTAGACTGCAAAACGTGGCCAGGACCCCTCCCCCACCCAGGTAGCAGTACCGTTGGAGAGATGGGCTGAGAAGCAGGGGCCCCAGCAGAGATCAGCCCACCTCTGCAGGCCAGGGCCAGAAAAGGGAGGTGAATAGGGTGGGAGCTGCCAGCAGGAACAGGAGCAAGGGGGGCAGGTGTGGGGGTGGGGCACAGGGGCAGCTGAGTGCCTCCCAGGGAGACTGGCTGACACCCTCACAACCCTCTGGGGTGTGATCCTGACCACACCTGTCCCACAGGTGGGCCAAGGTTCTGGGGCTGGGATTCGACCTGACCCCTGGCCACACTGTCTCCAAGACAGGGCCTGTGGAGCCGCCCAGGGATGAGTTTCCTCCTCCCAAGATACGGTGCTGAGCCCTGGCCAGCGCCCTGTGAGCACGAGGGACAGCCCTTCCCCTGGCCTGGCCCCCAGGCTCCACACACGACCCTCCCCCGGGGGCCCTGGGATGGGAGGAGCTGCTGGGGCAGAGGCCAACTCACAGGCGTGGACGTCCACCCTGCGCCTTCTTCTAACCAAGCTCTGTTTGTTAAATCAGAACCTCAGGGCCGGCGCTGTGCCATAGCAGGTAGACCCACCGCCTGCAGCACCAGCACCCCGCATGGACACTGTTCTAGTCCTGGCTGCTCCACTTCCAATCCAGCTCCCTGCTAATGCACCTGGGGAAGCAGCGGGGGATGGCCCAGGTGTTTCAGCCCCTGCACCCATGTGTAGACCTGGATGAAGCTCCAGGCTCCTGGCTTGGGGCAGCCTGGTGCAGCCCTGGCATTTTGGCCACTGGCCACTAAACCAGCAGACAAAAGCTTCCTCCCTCTCTCTCTCTTTCTCTTCCTCTCTAGCTCTCCCTCCGCAAGACTTATTATTTTAAGATAAGAATGATATGGTGAGAAACACGGCCCAGGCTCTTGACCCTTCAGGAAAGCGTCCTGAGCCTCCGGCCCACTTGGGGACACTCCCGCAGGTCCCCCCACTGAGGGCCATCAGGTTCCCAGCTGCGGTGTGGATCCGGGAGCCGGGAGCCGGGCTGTGGGCGGCCCGGGGTGGACACACAGAGGTGACCCCGAGCAGAGGAGCAGGACAACAGCCACGCAGGGTCGCGCCCGCGGCTTTTATTAATGGCAGAGAACCTGTTCCGTGGAGGCCGCACCCGTGCGCGCGGGGCCCCTGGTCCTCACGCCCGCCGGCCGCCCGGCCTGGACCCAGGGCTCCGGGACACAGGCGGGGGACGCGCTGCTCCTTCGTTCGCCGTGGCCAGGCCCGCTGGACACACGCAGTTGCGGCGGACGCCCGGGTCGGCGCATCTTGGCCGCGGTTCCAGAGGGTTGGGGTCGGGGACAGGGCGGATCTGGGGGCGGGGACTGGGCCTGGCGGGGCGGAGCTGGGGGTGGTGCCGGTGCTTGAGGGGCGTGGCCTGGCGGGGCGGGGCTCAGAGCAGCCGCAGCAGTGCCAGCGCGACGCCGGCGGTGAGGGCCCAGGGGGTGGCGGCCAGGGCCCCGCCCGAGTTCGTGTTCTCAGGGATCTGGGCGGGCCTTGCTGCAGCTGAGCTGCCGGAAGACGATGTTCCCTATCGTGGTGTTCTGTGTCGCCAGGAGCCCGCAGAGGTCGTCGGTGATGTCGGAGCAGCCTTTGACCCGCAGCGTGAAGTTCGTGAAGTTCTCCGTGTCTCTGGTCCCTAGAGGCGGGGGCACCTGAGCGCCCAGCCAGCTGCATGGCCAGGGCCGCGGCGCTCGGAACTCGCCTGCCCCTCCAGGTCAGCCATCAGGGCAGTGACAGACAGGTGCGGCCGACCCAAGGTAGACGGGCAGGCACTGCTGCCCCACCCAGGAGGACCGGGCCTGGGTCCTCATCCAGGCCGGGCCCAGACCCCACTCCTCTCTGGACCTGAGTGCTACCTGCCTCAGTTTCCCCTGAGCAGAAGCAAAAGCAGCCAGAAGGGATGTGATAACCGCATGCAGACAGAGCAAGAAGGGAGGGCAGTGCCAGCCCCAGAAGGGGTGGACACCAGGCCCCGGGGAAAGTGGTTACTGCCATCAGCCTGAGAGCCTGGGCACTGGGGGCTGGGCTAGTGTGTTAGGAATACACGGGGACCAAGGCTGTTGTATAGCGGGTAAAGCCGCGGCCAGCAGTGCCAGCATCCCACATGGGCGCCAATTTGAGACCCAGCTGCTCCTCTTCCCATCCAGCTCTCTGCTATGGCCTGCAAAGGCAGTAGAAGATGGCCCAAGTCCTTGGGCCCCTGCACCTGCATGGGAGACCAGGAAGAAGCTCCTGGCTTCAGATTGGCGCAGCTCGGCCATTGCGGCCATCTAGGGAGTGAACCAGCAAATGAAAGACCTCTCTATCTGTCTCTACCTCTCTCTCTCTGCCACTGCTCTCTCTCTCTGTGATTCTGCCTTTCAAATAAATAAATAAATCTTAAAAAAAAAAAAAAAAGGAAGACATGGGCCTGTGCATTTCTCTGCTGCGTTTTTTAAAAAGTGACCTTGGAATCACTTTTCTCCTTTTGGCTAAGATCAAGTGTAGTAAAAAGTGACCTTGGGCGTGGCCAATGCAGTGGCTCACTAGGCGAATCCTCTGCCTGTAGCGCCGGCATCCCATAGGAGCACCGGATTCTGTCCGGTTGCTCCTTTTCCAGTCCAGCTCTCTGCTGTGGCCTGGGACTGCAGTGGAGGATGGCCCAGGTGCTTGGGCCCTGCACCACAAGGGAGACCAGGAGGAAGCACCTGGCTCCTGGTGAAAAAGACCTTTCTCGCTGTCTCTCTCTCTCACAGTCTAACACTATTTGTCAAATAAATAAATGAAAAAAAATTTTAAAAAGTGACCTTGGTCAAAAATAAGCAAAAAAAAGTTCACATTTGTGATGGCGTTGACCCAAGCCAAGCTCTGTGAGGAAAAACCTCCAGGGCCCTGGAGCAGAGGACACAGGGACAGGACACGCCAAGTCCCCGGCCACCCAGCTCCCAGCCCCAGAGTTAAAACCCACAGCAGTGTAGACATCCCAGGGAGGTTAAAGCACAAAGAGCCATGCCCACTGGGATTCCCAGTATTCCAGGAAATATACAGGGAGCTGGGGGCCGGGCCGCTCTGGGTGACACCTGGGGGCAGCTGTGGGTCCTTGTCCACTGTACCGACCCCAGAGTCCAGCTGGAGAGAGGCCCCGTGTGCACTGAGGACCTGGTGACGCTGAGGCCAGCCGGGCAGACCACTGAGAAATCCAGGACTGCAATTAACATCCATGCCTGATGCCCACATGGCCCTGGGGAAGCCTGCGCCCCCTGCTGGTGAGGAGCAGACCTGCAAGGCTCTGAGCTCTGCAGGACCTGCCCCTGCCAGGGACCCACCCATGAGGGTCCTGGCCTGCTGCTGTGGGACCTGGTCGGCTGTGTAGAGCGGCAGAACCCACTTGCTGTCGTCGGCAAGGACGATTGTTGGATTTGGAAGCCGAATTTGACACTTTCCACCAGGGGACCCCGCCCGCTAAGTTAGCACTGTGCCAAATGTGACAGGTAGAAGAGTGTAGGTGTGCAGAGGCCACCCCACCCCCACCTGTGGAATGAAGCAGCCTGGTGACTGACAGCCAGCACAGGTGCAGGCCCTGGGCCAGCAGCAGGGGAAGCAGCCCTGCCCTGAGAAGGCAGCCCTGAGACAGCACTGGAGCCTCTCTCCCGCTCACAGGCATCCCGGCCCCGTCCCCGTGTCAGGCGCCTCCCCCACCTCTCTGTCAACCTGCATCTCAGGACCCCTGGAGGAACTGGATCCCAAGACATACCTTGCACGACTTCTGCAAGCCCATCGACGCACCGTTCGTCTGGGTTACACCTCACGAAACTCTCCTCACAGGAGGTGTCGTTAACCCCTATACAACCAGGGCACTGTGTGTTGCCGGTCCCTTCAGTCGGAACGTCTGCAAGGGAAGAGGCCTTATCACCACCGTGCTGTCAGGACGGAGCGACTGCATCCCGGCCTCCACACCACCCTGGTCACCACTGAAGACCCAGACCCTCAGGTCTGCCCCAACAGCCCATCCTCTCTCTGAGCGTGTGGGGTATAGGCTGAGAAGAGAAAGGTGGGCCCAACCTGTCCTGACTGTTGGTGTCCTGGTGTGTGACAGTTGCTAAATCTGCTATTCAAGCAGGAGAAGATAAATAAACCTCATTTTTAAAACACAGGCTTCGGGGTGCAGGCACTGCAGTGTAGCGGGTAGCCAGCATCTCATATGAGTCCCGGCTGCTCCTCTTCTGATCCAGCTCTCTGCTATGGCTGGGAAGGCAGTGGAGGATGACCCAGGTGCTAGGGTCCTGCATCCACATGGGAGACCTGGAAGAAGCTCCTGGCTCCTGGCTTCAAATCGGCCCAGCTCAAGCCATGTGGCAATTTGCAGAGTGAACCAGCAGATGGAAGATTTCTCTCTCTCTCTCTGCCTCTGCCTCACTGTAATTCTTTCAAATAGATAAATAAAAATCTTAAAACAAACAAACAAACCACGACTTCAGCCCCGAGCAGTGCAGCGGTTCTCACACGGGGGTTCAGGAACCCCGAGCCCTGGGCTCTTCTGGGGGGCTGAGTTAACCACTTCTGGCCAGCACCACACTGCCTGTGCCTCATTCTCTCTCCCTCACAAACAGGGTGGGGTTGTCCACACGGGAATGCACACACGTGTGAGCCTCCAGCCGTCTCGCATGTGACAATGCCACACTCCTCACTGCTGTGTTTATCTGTCAAGTACATGCTGATGGGTAAGGTGCTGCCTGCTGTTTTGGGTGAACTAATGCAGGTTTATAAACTTCCTTAGCTGGAATTTCCCAGACAGTAAATACTGACAGGGGGAGTGCACGTAAACCAGAGTTCTCTGGACTCCTCAGTAATGTGGGAGACCTGAGTCCTAACAGGGCCCTGGGATCCCGAAGTCTGAGAACTGCTGGGGAGCACCAGGTGCTGCTCCCAGGGGAGGCGTGGGCACAGCAGGGAGACCCCTCTGGGGGCGCCTGATCCCTAACGCAGCGCCTGGACCCCCTAAGTCCTGCTGCACCCTGACTCCAGTTCCTGCTGAGGAGCAGCGTGGAGCAGCCAGTGACGACTCAAGGACTAGAATTCCTCCTGCACCACCACGGGGAGACCTAGATGCTCCCAGTCCTGCCTGGCCTGGCCCCACCTCTGCTGTTGGGGAATGTGGGCGTGAACAGGCAAATGGAAGACTTCTCTCTGACTCTGTGTCGCCTGAGATAAAATGAAAATACATGAATACTAAATGCATCCCCCCACAGCCTCCCTGTCTGTCCCTGCTGGTAGTGCTGTCTGCCCTGCAGTTCTCACGCCCCTCTGTCAATCAGGTGTGAGTGTCATTCAGATGTGACAGGAGGGCCTGGCCTGCAGGTGGCCCCCAAGGGCAGGGAGCACAGGTGGCCCAGCAAGGGGACCATGGCGCTGGCACCCACCTGGGGTTGGAGGGGGGATGTTGCTATTGCAGGGTTCTCCATTGCAGCACTGGCTTGACAACCAGGCTGTTTGCCCAGCAGCTCCCCGGACAAAAAAGCCCGGAGACGTAGGCAACAGTGAGCAGTTGATTGCAGAGCAGGCCAGGTCCTGGAAACGTGTGGGAGGTGAGGCTGCACAGAGACAAACACAGACTGTTAGTCCCTGGGGAGGAGAGGCCGTGGGGACCTGGGACCCTGAAGAGGAGCGGCTTCTGGCCAGCACACACACGCTCCCCTCAGCTCAGTGCAGGTTTGGACGCAGCGGTGAGGGTTCCTGGGAAGAGAAAGCTGCTGCTCCATCAGCCACACCTGTGCAGCAGGGGAGCAGCAGAAATGCAGGCAGACCCAGGAGAGGGCGGGGCCTACAAGTGGGCGGTCCAAGTGACCGCCTGGAGACCACCCTCCAGTCCTAAATGAGCCAGTGCTGTGGCACAGCGGGTAACGCTGCCACCTGCAGGGCCAGCATCCTATATGCGCACAGGTTCAAGTCCCAGCTGCTCCACTTCCCATCCAGCTCTCTGCTATTGCTTGGGAAAGCAGTAGAAGAAGATCCAGTTCCTTGTGACCCTGCACCCATGTGAGAGACCCAGAGGAAGCTCCTGCCTCCTGGCTTCAGATTGGTGCAGCAGCCGCCGTTATAGCCATTCGGGGAGTGAACCAGTGGATGAAAGACCCCTCTCTCTCTCTTTCACTCTCTCTCTCTCTCTTTCACTCTCTGTTATGCCTCTCCTTCTCTGTGTGTAACGCTGACTCTCAAATAAATAAATAAATCTTTTTTAAAAATGAGAATAATCAGCTGGTGCCACAGCTCACTAGGCTAATCCTCCGCCTGCGGTGCCGGCGCACCAGGTTCTAGTCCGGGTCGGGGCGCCGGATTCAGTCCCGGTTGCCCCTCTTCCAGGCCAGCTCTCTGCTGTGGCCCGGGATGCAGTGGAGGATGGCCCAAGAGCTT